CTGTACTGTTCTTTGCATACTTTGGCTTGCCACACTTCCCGTACTACTATGTACAATAAATTCTCCACTTAACAATCTACATTATATACAATGCCACACCACTTTGTAGACTGTGTTTTACGTAAAAAAAAAAACACTGTGCACAGCTAATCATATTACAGCTGCCACATAAATAACATAATAAAATATTATTGACTTTGAAATTCAAGCACATTCAAGGCATAATTTTGCTGGTTATATTATAACTCCAAATCAGAGAAAGATACATAAAAGTGAACCCTTAAGTACAGTTAAAAAAAATTTTTAAGCTTGTTTTTCTTCGCTAAATTGACTGTGTAATGCTATGTTCACATTGGTGTACTGCACTTTTGGCTGCAGTGTGGGTGTATGAGTAGTTTATGTGCATTTTACACACATTTTGGCTGTGGTCCCATTGACTTCTAATAAGTTGTGCATTATGGGTGTGTTTTATGAACGTGCACCAAAAGTCCTGCATGCTACAGCTTTGTTTCAGTTTCAGAAATCAAGGTAAAAATTAGCAACCCAATAGAAATCAATGGAATGTGGCTAAAAACGTACATAAAATGCAAAAACCATGCATACACCTACGCTGTGTCCAAAATGCAGGGCACTAGTGTGAATCAGGCCTAAATTTATAATACTAACATTTCAATGATATTATTTTCCTGAGGTAGCATAACGGGTACATGCAGTTGCCCCACCTCAGCATGAGGAGCATGTACTATTCCTGCCAGAATGACACAGTGGTAGTTCATGTACAAAGAATTGTGTTTTTTTTTTTTTACTCTTTTTTCGTCCAAACAGTAATGGAATGGAATAAAACACCTTGGACAGTGACAATAAGTGGAGAGTAAAACTAAATAGGAACATTTCCTGTGCATAATTCAATTTATTGCATCACATTATACAAGCATAAAATGTATGTTTATACTCAAGAACCCTTATTTAAATTTTGAAAACTGAACATTCTCTTTAGTTTTGGCTATGTACAAATGATGTAGCTCCTGGAAATATGTACACGTATATACATTTATATAGGATGTACAATAATATAGAAATTTCCTCAGAAACATCTGAAGTACAAAAACGTGTTGCGCTGTAAACAGGGTTGCAGTTCCAAGTCTGGTGATCAAATGGAAGATATCCTATAAGCCAAAGAATGGTGGCAGGGATATTCATAGATCTGTAAAACAGACAATAAGCAAAATGCAGAAAAAGGTACAAAAAAGGTGGAAAAATGTCCGACTGTGTCCCTTTTCTACATAGGGGTTTAAACCGTTGAAGACGTCTTCCAATGATCACATGCCTGCTGTTTAGCTAGAAATACTGCAATATCACATTGCAAGATGTATTCACAGTAGATCAGTTCTTGCTGGGTATTAATGCTGTGCTGCAGCTTGTATCTGGATTCCATGCAATAGAATGTGAAGTAGTGCAGTGGTACTGAATATTGTTCTCTGAAAATGAAAAAAAAGTGGTTAGTTGACTGTTGTGTTTTATTCTGATATAGAAAGTTTATATTATATATGTACAGAAACTAAGCTATGTACTTTAAAGCCAGATTTAGTGGACTTTTCACCTTTATAGAGCTGCCGCCATAGTAAAGTGAGAATCTGGTTTCAGAAGGTACTTTCTAGGGGCAGCAAGAGAAATAATGTCTAGCTAGCCTACCTGCCTTTCCTTCTTCTATAAATATTGGGATGTCACTGTGGCACGGTGGTTTGCATTCTACACCAATGTTTCCTTAATGTCTAAGGAGAAGGTTGGGTTGATTTTTGAACAGGCAGCACAAGATTCTCAACTGCAAAAGATGTCTTATGTCTTAAGGCTGTCTTATGCTTTGGGGCAAAAGAATTTTCCAGGTTTGGATAAATATTTGCCCATCAGTATTAAATCTTTAAACATTAAATTTACTGATACCATATTTCCCCAATTTCTCCAAGGTTGAATATCACTGTCATTCCTATCTACAGTATGTCCCAGAACAATCTCCTCTTTTCCAGCACAGCATTTAACACACTTACTCTGTGATTAGATATCTCCTTGGATAACCAAGCTTTTTTTTTTTTATACATAGAATGGGGAAGATTTATTAAACCTGGTGCACACAGAATCTGGTGCAGCTGTGCATAGTAACCAATCAGCTCCTACCCTAGGTTTACATCTGTGTGGGTGGTACGGCCGTGGATCCGCACGAAAATCCGTGCAGCCACACTACCCGCACAGAGAAATGTGGACCCACGGGCGGGTGCCATTAGTTCTAATGGCATGCTGCCCGCACTGGAAAACGCAACCGTACTGGAAACCGAGGTTCCCATGCAGGCTGCGTTTTTAAAAGAAGTGCAGGGACTTCTTCCCTGCGTGTCAAATGAATGGGCTCTCGTGCCCGTGCAAAACTCGGCCCGCACAGCCGCATATATGTGAACCAGGGGTTAACTTCAGCTTGTTCAATTAAGCTTTGACAATAAAATCTGGAAGCTAATTCATTGCTATGCACAGCTGCACCAGATTCTGTGTGCACCAATTTTAGTTAATCACCCCAGTGTGTCTTGATATCTTGCTTGCCATCACACTCCAGGCAAATAGTTGTCAGTAATGTCAACTCTTGAGATATTGTGCTAACAATCTCAGAGACAGATGCCATTTTTTACTTGATTTTGTACAAATTCCAAAGCTGTCATTCTTATCTTTGCATCACTACTTATGGTGGTGCTGACCTGGAACGAACATGCAGTTAGTCAAATGTATGAACACCTGACATTTTCTGGTTTAGGTTTCACTACTACAGCAAGGTCAGGAGGTGCTACAAGCAAGGTGCTTGTGCTTCTAAATAAATCAGCACTCTGCATGATTCCTTTATGCTAGTCCAACACAAACCAAGTCAACCAAGCAATTAGATGCTAGGATAAATAAATAATTCATTAAATAAGTATTGTGAGACAACCAAGTGCAGCGTTGATATAGGGTACAGCGCTAAATAAATAGTTGATAAATATGGAACAGTCAAGTGCAACATATAAAGTGAAAATAAATAAAGTCCATATATATTATAATAAATAATGTCCTTGGGACTATAAGGCACAGCAATCATGGTGAAAAAACTGTGGAATGATCCAATGAAGGAATCCACCACCACTGTCAGCTGTAAATTCACCAGAAAGCTACTGGTAAACAGCATGTAAACACATCACATCAGGACATAGGAAACAGCCAGAAGCCTCTATATGGAATGCTCCGTCAAGGGCAAACTGCAGATGGACCCTCTCCTAGGAAGAACAGCTCACCACGGGAGCCCAGAAATGGTATACAGTGCAGTATTTTATTGCAAGAATCAGTAAAAACAGTCCACGTGGAGTATATAGTAAAAGAAGTACTGTAACTGGAGTACCAAGATGGTCGCTGCTCCGACCTTTGGCAGCGGCAGCGTGACGTCAGAAAGTGTGTCTCCACCCGATGGGTGGAGCCGCACTTGCTGACATCACGATGGGTGGTGCCGCACTTGCTGACATCACGCCGCTGCTGCCGAAGGTCGGAGCGGTGGCCATCTTGGTACTCCATTTACTTCTTTTACTATATACTCCACGTGGACTGTTTTTACTGATTCTTGCAATACAATACTGCACTATATACCATTTCTGGGCTCCTGTGGTGAGATGTTCTTCCTAGGAGAGGGTCCATCTGCAGTTTGCCCTTGGTGGAACATTCTATATAGAGGCTTCTGGCTGTTTCCTATGTCCTGATGTGATGTGCTTACATGCTGTTTACCAGTAGCTTTCTGGTGAGTTTAAATCTGACAGAGGTGGTGGATTCCTTCACTGGATCATTTCACAGTTTTTTCACTGTGATTTCTGTGCCTTATAGTCCCACAGACATTATTTATTATAATATATATGGACTTTATTTATTTTCACTTTATATGTTGCACTTGACTGTTCCATATTTATCAACTAATTATTTAGCACTGTACCCTATATCAGCGCTGCACTTGGTTGTCTCACAATACTTATTTAATTATTTATTTGATTTATTTATTTTGCGCTGCACTTTATACCATATTTAATATCATATTTTATAAGGAGTCGTTACCTTTACCTTTGTGCTAGCTGCTTCAGATTTATTTACAGTGCTCGCCTATACATGACATTCTTTAGATGCCAAAATAACCTCCTACCAAAACTTGCACATTCAGGATTCAGTGCATGTAGACCAAGGAATTTAGGGTAATATTGCTTCTGTTTAACAGCAGAGGTCAGAAGAATATCAGACCACATCCTAAATTTTGGAAGGTCCAGGACCCTCCAACAATGAGGGACGGAATAGATAGATAGAATTGAGTATATTAATAAGATGGAGGAGTTGTGTCATATTGAGGAGGACAAGATGGAAATATTTAGAGAAAAGTGGAGTAGGTGGTACAATTGTAAAACATGTAAAAAATATTTACAAATGAGGGGTGCCCTGGTAGTAGAGTCGGAGAATCAAAATGGTTAAATAGATTTATAGAGATGGGTTGATTAACAGGAGGGGAAAGAGAAGTTTGTACTGATTTGTACTGTCTTTTTAAATAAAATTTAATTAAAAGATATAATAAATATAAAAGAAGAATATCAGACAAAAAAAATGTTTTTCTGTTCCCTAGAAACGTGCAGCTTAGGTTTCCACTAATACAATTGTTCTAAATCCATACAAGAGGAGATCATTGTATGATTGTTCTAAAATTGATCACATTGAACCATAAACTCCACTTGTGCATGATCATCTCAAGTTCACTAGCAGAATGTAACTATGAGCTGATTACATTGTTGTGTGGCTGTTGTAGGATAGTGGGATCTACATTTTTTACATAATGGAGCCCACTAAAAGTGAGAGCAAAAGCTACAAAAATGAGGCAGAAGGAATATTGTACACTGAATACCTGAACATCTTATGGTTATATGAACAACAAACAAATGTAAAATCATATCTCACTTCATTTGCCATTAGGGCCACTCATTATTTTGGTACTTCCCGTTTCTCTTCCTCTCTTTCTTCTCTTTCTGCACTCTCTCCAATTCTGCTTCATACATCATTTCTTGGATGAGGTATTTTTCTCTCCGCATTCGATCCCTCAGGTCTTTGGGAAGGTCTGGTATCAGGTAGGAGATCAAATTCTTTATGCAAAAAACAAGATGCTGTAACACAAAATTTAAGGTGAAGATCATTTAGAAAAAGTCAAACATAGTTAATTAAGTTACGTTAATTAAAAAAAATATGGAAAACTTCAAGCAGCGATATACTTAAAAAATATCATATATTCTGATTGGTACTGTTAAATGGGGATGAGGTTGGCTCACAGTTGCACCATTTGAACCTTTGACTTGAATGGCCACCTTTGACTTGAATGGGTTAAATTTTCCAAGGCCACCACACAAAGCATCACACGAGAACAGCCCCCTCCTGACTGTATTTTAGAGTTTAGGTGGGTCGAGGGGTGACTGTAAAACTGTAGCGCAAAACCCGTTTTAAAACTTCTCCCTGGCTGTCCAAGTGAAAAAGACCTTAGGGAGAGCTGACAATGCTGAGATTTCTTTCTAGGTAGAGATACTTTTTTTTCTTCTTTCTTATTTTTTTTGTGAATGTGAAACTTCTGCATTACCTGCTTCATGTGTTGTGAAGTGAATACACCTATGTAATCATTATAAAATAAAAGTAAAAAGAATGTGTAAAACAGTGAAACGTGTATCAAGGGTGCTGCTCACATTTATATGCGTTCCTGCACACACCATTCAGATATAAACCAATGAATATGCAGAGCTTTCTATATGCATAGAAATCTCTTATATCACAATAGGCATAATATATAAATATCATAAACATATAAATCCACACTTCAATAATCTGTGCATAACAACATATATTCCAAATGTGACTAGAATTTCTTGTGATAATAGTCCAAAACATAAATCAAACAATGTGTGAGTTCCAATGTATATCTAAATACATCATAACTAACAGCAATTTATGGACAATACACTGGGGAAGTCACTAAATATACAGTATTGTTAGAATAAGCTTAGGGAACTATCTCAAGCATGCAGGAATGGCTAAGTATATTGTTGGATATGGTCTCTGGTACCCAGCTTCCTATGGTATAACAGAAATCATCAGAAAACCAAATTGGATGGAAAGGTAAGCAGTTCATGAATATTTATAAAATTGATATAGTGGGTAACAATTTTTCAGAACGTATAAACATAGCAGTCATGCAAAAGAATATAACAGGTGTCAATACCAGATAGAAAGTACAATTGGCCCTAAACTACATATAGATTTGAACACTTGCTCATAAGAGATGCATAATTTAACAACAATCCCTCTTGTGTGTATATCTGTGTGTGTTTGTGTCTGAGGATGCTTTTCTTTAAAGTGGTTGTAAACCCAAAAAGATCAAAATTGAAATGACAAGTCTACCTCACACAGCATAGCAGCAGAAGTTATCTGTCCCTTGTCTGGCCAAAAAAAGGAGCAGCCAGTCATCTGAAATCCTCTCTGCTTTCCTACAGTGAAAAAACCCGACACATGAAAAACATTTGTGTTAATACACCCCCTTTCTTGTGACTGACAGACTAATTAGGATTCAGCTCCAGCCTGAGGAGACTGAGAAAACAGGTATCCCCATAAGCACTGGGCAGCATTTGAGGCATCGGAGACTGCAGACTTTCATAGGCTGGAGGGAGCTGAGCAACTGTCGGGAATTACTCAGTGGGACCCTGCTGACACTATGTGCTTATCTCTACTAAGGGAGGAGGAGGGATACATGCTTTCACAGGTCATCATTATCAACTAACGGGAGCTAAACAACCTCACACAGATTTACCCCCACAGCTCCCAAGGAGGGAGCCAAGCAGAAGGATCACAATTAACCCCTAAATGGTTGGGCACTTTTACTGTAGTGCCCTACTTTCAGGAAATGCCCAATAGTTACACAGTAAGTGTGGCCAGTCATTTAGGGGTTAATTGTAATCCTCCTGCTCTTCTTTCTCCCTGGCAGCTGTGGGGTTAAATCTGTGCAAGGCTGTTTGGATCCCCCCCCCTTAGTTGATAATGATGACCTGTGAAAGCAAGTATCCCCCCTCCTCCTCTATTAGTAGAGATAAGCACATAGTGTCGGCACGGTCCGCTGAGTAATTCCCGAGCTAGGCTATTTCGGGAGTGATCTGCGTGGATGGCTGCGGGACACACGCCCCTTTCTCTTATGCTCATGCAAGAGACTCCTAATTAGTCTGTCAATCACATGAGAGGGGGGGTGTGGTGACACAATTTTTTTCATGTGTTGGGTTTTTTTTACTGTAAGAAAGTAGAGAGGATTTCCTATGATTGGCTGCTCCTTTCTTGGCCAGATTACGGACATATGACTTCTGTTGTTATGCTGTGTGAGGTAGACTGGTCATTTCAATTTTGATTTTTTGGGGTTTACAACCACTTTTTGTTTGTTGCAATATAAGACCTACCAGGGAAGCATAACTAGGCAAAGACAGATTGGCAAGACATTGAAGGCAAATCCACACACTGTATATGCATTGTGGTAACAGGATACAGCTGGATCTTTAGATAGACTAGTGACACTATACTGCAAGAGTAGGCTGCTAGGTAGAAACAAAAATACAAGTCAAGAGATTGGCCCACGTGGTGGACCAGCCCCCCATCCGCAACAAGCAGATCAGAAAGTAGCAAGTAGTACTCAGTAAAAAGAGCAAACGCAGCATAGCCCCCTTTTTCAGAGGGCAGGTGTTGTGTACTTCATCGAAAGCAAAGAAAAGGATTTTGCGGTAAGAACAATAATCCTGTTTTTTCTTCCTCTCGCTGAAGGACATAGCTGGATCTTTAGATCTTGACCAACGGGATGTCCCCAAAATAAATGGTAGACCCAAGAGAAGAGAACAGATTAAAAAAAACAGTAAAAAACCTTGGTCCTAACTTCCTTTCACTATGAAAAAAAATGTAAGCTCGTTATTGAAGACTCGTATTTGGGCCACCAACACCGGCTGTTGTCTTTTTGTTGCACCTAGAGCCCTACTCCGGCAGGGCACAGTTTAACTCACCTATCAAGAAAAAAATGTGTTTTACCGCAAATGTTCACAACACACATTTCATTGCACTGCCATTTTGTGGGGGGTTTTTGTGTATCACCCTAATGCACATGTGCACTACAACACATGGGTGTTATAATACACAACAATGTACAGTTGTAGGCACTCTGTGTATTATGGTGTGCTGCTTCGGAGAATACGGTGCAGGTGTTTTATAACCTGCAATAACAGCTCATTCAAAACAAATGAAGTGCCTTAATACAATGCATGTTAACATGTGAAACAACATCAGCTAACTTGTGCGTTAATAAAGTGAATTAGGCCTTAACCTTGAAGCCCAAAAATCAAGGTAAATAGGGAGAGGAGGAGGAATCTATTTCTTTTATGGCTACATGTAGTGAATGCAACAAACAGACAACTATTGGGATGAAAGCAGAATAGGTGGGTGGGAAATCTGGCCATGTTTAATATGGTACAGGTGACACTGCAAATACTGTGGTGGTGATGGTATTCAACTGAGGAAAATTTGAAAAACTTTTTCAAAAAATTTTGACATTAAAGTACATCTAAAGCCAAAATGTCATTTTTTTCACTTTTGGAGAGAGTATGATGGTTACACTCCCTGTCAGTTTTTTTGGGTACAATGACATAATTTTGAACTTCCCAGTACTTGCTGCCCAAGCGATAATGGTCACCAAGCCAAATAGAGAGGGTGAATGTACCCAGCAGGGACACAGGCAGTAATAAAAATCTGACAAGAGGATCTAACCCTTCCTTGCTCTATTCATACATTTTAATACGCACATACCAAGACATCTCTTGCAATTATTATTGCAAACAAATATACATATAGCCAAGGCTATGCCATAAAGGTAACGCTTCATAAACATTGCACTATACAAAACATAAAATCTCCCCACTTGTTTTTCGCATGATGTGCATATTCCTCTATATCAGACTTTATGTACCAGTAATGTACAAGCCTCTTAAACATGTAACTTGTATTATCTTACCTCAAATACAATGATGAAAGCTAAGCGTGCAGCAAGCACATGCCAAAACTGCAAAGTGTAAGCATAGGGCTCAGGACCATGAGGTGGACTTCTGTAGTCTCGATACCTATGAACACGTGAGAAAAGTGCTTGAAAAAAATCTCAGATAATCAAACATCAAGGTAAACCTATAAAAGGCAGCTGATAGATTAGAAATAAAGGGAATGAAGATTATAGTGTTGTACATAGCAACTATTTCAAATACAGTTAATAGTTTTTTATTACATCTCACATGACTTAAGGGATCACATTGGGTGATTTGCCTGGCCTACGGACTTCTGTGACCCCCTACTTGTTCATCAGTTAGCTGACTGGTTACTTTGTTCAATATCCCCTGTTTAAATTTTGTTCCAATTATCTATGATATCAGGATATTGTACATTAAGAACAAATTTCTCTTACCGGCAATATTTCACATGTGCGCCATTAAATCTTGCATGAAACTCTGAATCTGAGCGATTCTCAAAATCATTTACTAGGAAGACAGAAAGGCTGGCATTGACATACCCGACCATGCACCTTTACAAACAAAAATGACAAGTTATTGCATGTGTTATCAATTTACACTGCATTTACTTTAAAAGGATTTAAAGTGTATAAAGCCAAGACATGTTTTGCAGTTTTTCATGGAGCAGAGAAGTGTTAAAACACTTTTTGCATAGTTAACCTTTATATGTTCCCCATCTCTGAGATCTTCTTCAAAGTGTGTCCTATGGAAAGGCCATCCATTATCCTTCTCAACAATAGACAGGCTTTTTATGAAAATGAATGAAAATTCTTCTGTGCATGAGCACAGATGGGGGACATTCAGTAGAAAGCTTGTATGGATCCCTGTAGATCTTGGAGCAGTGAGGGCAGGTACATATTAGACTTGGAGGGGTGGATGAAGGGGTGGAGGGAGAATTGCTGTAAGGGTAGGATTTAAAGGACAATGTACACTCATCCCTTAGGCCACATTAACAAGGTCTAAATATGAATGATCTTCTCATTGAGAATTAAAAAACTTTATGTGAATAGTTTGTAAATATACAGTATATTTACATGAGGTCATCCATAGCTGAAGATTACATAGACAGGCTTTCGTCTGCTTAATAGTTATTCACAGTAATTGTGATTCACTGTCCCAAAGTAAAGGTGGCCATATACTAATCGAAATTCAGATGGTTCAACAGGGACCAGCAGAATTTCGATCAGTCCCCACCCAACAACCCAAGTTGATCAATTGTTTCTGTCCAAGGGACATACTGTAAGATTTTTCTCAGTCTGCAACTACTGATCCTTGTATTCTGACAATGGTGTGTGCAGCTCTTAAAAAACAATGTCCCAGTGGGGGGGGGGGGGTTCCTCTATGAACCCCATTTGCACAGATGGAGGAATCTACTTTTTTTTTTAACAGTAAATGACCAGCTTGAGTCTATGGGTCAGATCAGACCTGAATGAAAGCAGACTCTCTCTCTATAAGGCTAAGGACTTGTGTTGGCGGGCTTTTGTTCTCTTCAAGTCAGTTTGTGTTTCCATACAAACTAATTGGTATGCAAAAACTCACTTCAAGCAGGTCGAATGCAAGTCAACTGTAGGTCAAATGCACCTGTCTATGAATTCTGAATGATCTTAGAAGCATCTAAAACTTATGTAAAAGTCCAAAGCCCATCAACTCAGTCCTAAATTATCTCAACAGTCAATAAAGAAAATGTGCTGGGAGAAATAAGGAGGTTGATATTGTAATGTCTCTCCTGAAATTGTTTCTTAATTGTCCCTGCTCTATTGCTTTATGAATCAATGACCCAGAACAAGCACGCATCCAGTGAATCAGAACACCTGATTCACATACTGTACTTGTTTCTGTGTTAGTGATATACCCAAGAACAATATAGTATTGTTATACTATAGTATATAGTATATAGAGTATTTACAGATTTCTACATGAAACGCAGTAAACTTAAGCATGTGCTTGCTCAAATACACATTATAGTGCCCTTTAATGTCAGTAATAATAGTAGGGGCAGTAGGCAGGAAGTATATATAAAGGTAATTAAAACTAATGAGATAGAGGGTTAGGAGGTAGGGAAGGGTTAGAGTAGATTGTCTAGTTAAGTTTTTATTGCTCTCTGTGTCCCTACATGGGACACAGTTGGGATTCACTGTATTTGTACTGGTGACCATTGGCACCGAGACAGAAAGTTTTCATTAGAGCAAGAAGTAAGGGAGATTCCACCAATGGGAACACCTATTCCTGTTTAAGATGGGTGTTCACTCTGGAGAGATTTCTTCTAATTTCCTTTTGTATTTCCAGGACAGGAAGTGAAGAGAAATCCACCCTTTAGGACACATACAGCAAATATAACCTAAAGTTTTACTAAAGGCACTTTAAAAAAAATTAAAACAACCATGTTATACTCACCTGCTCTGTGCAGTGGTGTTGCACAGAGCAGCCCCAATCCTCCTCTTCTTTGTTCCCCCACCAGCAATCCTGTCTCCTTCTCTTCTTTGTGTGTCCGCATAGCAAGCCATTTGCTATGGTGACAAATGCTGCATGCTTGCTCCCAACCTGTGTGTTTACGGAGTTGAGCTCTATAGACACACACAGTGGGACTTAGCCCCACCCCCCACTTCCTCTTCACCGCACTTGATTGACAGCAGCAAGAGCCTATGGCTTCTACTGCTATTCGACTCCCTGTGTGAAGAGGAAGTGAGAGGAAAAGAGATGCAGCCATGCACAGTGCTGATCTCTTCTCCCCTCTCTTCCCCTTCACACAGGGAATTGGAAGCACAGGGAATGTAAAAATGTTTTTTTACTTAGTGCAAGCAATGCATTAAGGTAGAAAATGTTTTTAGGCTTAGTGTCACTTTAAATAAAATTTCTTTAGTTAAATAAAAAAAAGTTTCCCAATCCTTTTACCCACATTTGGAACTGTTTACAAGCATTATAAAAGCATTACAAAATGCTTTACATACACTTAAATTATCCATTATACTTAAAGCAGCATAAACAAATTAGCATAAAAATAGAAGCAAACATACCAAGAGGTGTCTTAACCAAATGTCATGTAAACTGTAAAATCTATACATAGAGGTTAAATATCAAAAGACATTTAGACTATTACTTTTCTCCAGCTTGTCCTAGACCGGCACAAGGTCCATATTTGTAAGCATACACCAGCCGCGGAATGAAGTCTGAGGTCACCGCGATAACAAATGCATTCGTAATAACAGACAGAATCCCGATGCCTTCTAGAATTCCATACCAGATACCTGTTTAAAGTGATATTTCTGTTAGCACTGAAGCAACATAAAATAGCATAGAAGACAATAAAAACACCATTGTGAAGGGGTATGTAAACCCTCACAAATTTTGATGTATTTTGTTCTGTTAAATATACAATTGAAAATGTTGTAATATTTCTGTCTGAAAAATAAATACAAATACTTGTTGATTGTGTCAGAAATCTTGTGAGCTGTTAACATCATGTACACTCTGCCTACGCTGGCTGTCATCAGTTAAATTGTTCCCAGCTCAGTCAAAGGACTACAAAACTCCACCCCATGTGCAATGGAGAGGACGAGAGGGGGGTTGAAGTGTTTGGTATCCTTGTCATAGGGTGACAACACAGCTCCTTCATAGATTCAGTACAGTTAGTGAGCATGCTAACCCTAGAACAGGAAATATATTACTGGCAGGATCATCAGGTAAAAATAAAGTTTGAAAAAAAGAAAAATGAAGGTAGCCACAACATTTTTGGATTGTTAAGCTGTAGTATAGTACACTTGGGTTTAGATATGCTTTAACCTCTTTATGTGTTGGGGGGAATTGAAAACCTCTGTGACCAGAATAGACCTATTTTGATAAATATTTATTTTGACCACAATTTTATTTATTTATTTATTTCAGGTACTTATGTAGCACTTGTAAGGGATTTCCGGCAAGACGAATCGCGATTAGAAATGCGCATGCAAATTCCCGGAGAAGAATTGCCAGTTGTGCGCATGCACGCAGAAATGCGCGATCGTGCACATGCCTGCGCATGTGCACACGCACGTGCGCAGATTGGCGTCAGACGGCATATTTAATGAGTGTCTCTGCCCATGTTAAGTGCCGACTGGTCTTCAGCTCCCCCGTGTCCTGCTTGTTCCTGTGTGGTTCCTTTGTTGCTGACCCGGCTTGTTCCTCACCTGACTCTGATGCTGCTCTGGGACAAAATTGAGTCAAGCCAAGTACTAGTCAGCCATTCACAGGAGGCTTTCTATTTTCTGAATGATTACAAAGCTTCCTCTGTGGCTGAGGTGGTGAGGAGGGCAATTGATGTCACAATATCCGCCTTAATCGGTGGAAGCCTTTTATTAATTTATAAAACCCAAAGCTTCCTGTGATTGGCTGAGCAGCACTGAACACAACTCATTTCTGTTCTGTGAGTGGGGCGGGAAGTCTCCATCCCGCTGCCAGAACTGCATGTACAGTTGCAAGAAAAAGTATGTGAAGCCCTTGGAATTACATGGAGTTTTGCATGAATTGGGCATAAAATGTGCTCTGAACGTCATCTAAGTCACAACAATAGAAGAACACAGTCTGCTGAACATAATACTACACAAACATTAGATGTTGCCATGGTTTAATTGCACATAACATGTAAACATTCACAGTGCAGGGAGGAAAAAGAATGTGAGCCTTTGGACTTAATAACTGGTTGACCCTCCTTTGGCAGCAATAACCTCAACCAAACATTTCCTGTAGTTGCAGATCAGACCTGCACAACGATCTGGAGTAATTTTGGACCACTCCTCTTCACAAAACTGTTTCAGTGTAGCAATATTCTTGGGATGTCTGGTGTGAATTGCTCTCTTAAGGTCATGCCACAGCATTTCAATCGGGTTGAGATCAGGACTCTGACTGGGCCACTCCAGAAGGCGTATTCTATGCTGTTGCAGCCATTGTTTTGTTGAATTACTTGTATGCTTTGGGTCATTGTCCTATTGCATCACCCATCCTCTGCAGAGCTTCAGTTGGTGGACAGATGGTCGTACATTTTCCTGCAAAATGTCTTGATAAACTCTGGAATTCATTTTCCTATCAATGACAACAATCCGTCCAGGCCCTGAGGCAGCAAAGCAGCCCCAAACCATGATGCTGCCTCCGCCATGTTTTACAGTGGGGATGAGGTTTTGATGTTGGTGTGCTGTGCCTTTTTTTTTCCACACATAGTGTTGTGTGTTCTTCCCAAACAACTCAATCTTGGTTTCATCTGTCCACAGTATATTTTGCCAGTAGTGCTGTGGAACATCCAGGTGCTCTTTTACAAACTTCAAACGTGCTACAATATTCTTTTTGGACAGCAATGGCTTCCTCCGTGGTGTCCTCCCATGTACTCCATTCTTGTTTAATGTTTTCCTTATTGTAGATGTGTCAACAAAAATGTTAGCATGTGCCAGAGATTTCTGAAGGTCTTTAGCTGACACTCTTGGATTCTTTTTTACCTCATGCAGCATTCTGCGCTGTGCTCTTGCAGTCATTTTTACAGGACGACCACGCCTAGGGAGAGTAGCAACAGTGCTAAACTTTCTCCATTTGTACACAGTCTGTCTTACCATGGACACATGAACATCAAGGGTTTTGGAGATACTTTTGTAACCCTTTCCAGCTTCAGGCAAGTCAACAATTCTTGATCGTAGGTCTTCTGAGAGCTCTTTTCTGCGAGGCATGGTTCACATCAGGCAGTGCTTCTTGAAACCAGTAAACCCAAAACAGGTGGGTGTTTTTTAAGGGCAGGACAGCTGTCAGCAACGCATCCAATATCATCACACTGATTGGTGTCAAGGTTGGCTCACTCCTGGCTCCAATTAGCTCTGGGAGTAGTCATTAAGCTAGGGCCTCACATACTTTTTCCTCCATGCACTGTGAATGTTTACATGTTATGTGCAATTAAACCATGGCAACATCTAATGTTTGTGTAGTATTATGTTCAGCAGACTGTGTTCTTCTATTGTTGTGACTTAGATGACGTTCAGAGCACATTTTATGCCCAATTCATGCAAAACTCCACGTAATCCCAAGGGGTTCACATACTTTTTCTTGCAACTGTATCTGATGCTACACACAGTGTATACAACACTGACAGCAGCTGGCTGTATTAATAAAGGAAATAGTTCATTTGGACTAGCTCGGCTCAAAGTTTTTCAATTTCACAGTAAATCTGGAGAAATACTTACGCTGTACAAAAATGTTAAAAAAAAAAAATCACAAAATGATTCAGTTTACAAAGCACAATACTTAATTTAATACCTTTGGTAATATCCTTACCATTCCTTATGACTACTTTAATCCAGTAAATTATCAATGAGCAAATCTACCAAGTCAATAAACCTAATTAAACTGTATTAACCAAATTAATTAATTCAGTAAATTCACTGACTAATCAAATGAACACAAGTAATTAAAAGATAATTAACTAGTAATTAAATAACACATGTTCCAAGTTTTTATTGACCCTGCCATATAATAACCCTATTCACTAATGATAGCCCTACCTAAATAACACATTGACTAAATGTAATCCATTATAACATAATGTGTTGATTCACACCAGCTGGTATTCAAACCCTTGATATCTGTGGAAGCAGGTTTCAGCATAAACAGGAACGTTTGGGTCATCTGAGCATTCCTGTCTACACTATGTTGTCCAGTGATAGAGAAAGGCCAGGAACAAACACTGGCATGCACCAGGGAAAACAATATCAATGAAACAAGGTTTATTAATCCATCCGATATTTATTTCTTTATAACTTGTAAATAAAGGGTTTCAGTATATATAAAAACAGTGTGTACAAAAAAGCTTTTACAATCAATTGTAAAGCTTTCATGAAGTTCTGAGCAGTTTTCAATCATCAACTTCAGCTCCATCAGCTCCAATTTGGGGATGGTAAACACATATCGGCTGCTGGCTACAAGTTTCCAGGAGAAGGCTGTCAACAAGTTTCAAGTATTGCTAAAGCTTTCTGAAAGTATTCTAAAACCTCCTAAAAGCTCGTTTAAAGTGATAACCAGAACTTGTCCTCCAGAGGATTTACCCCCGCTTCTTGACCAGGCCATTTTTTGCAATATGGCGTTATTTTAACTGACAATTGTGCAGTCATGCAACGCTGCACCCAAATGAAATTTATGTTTTTTTTCCCCCTGAAATAAAGCTTTCTTTTGGTGGTATTTGATCGCCTGTGAAATTTTTATTTTTTGCGCTATAGACAAAAAAAGACTGCTAATTTTGAGAAAAAAACAATATTTTTGACTTTTGCTATTAAACATGTCCAGTAAAAAAATAAAAAAAATCAAATCTCGTCATAAATTGAGACCAATTCTGCTCCATGTCTTTGCTAAAAATCATCCCAATACATGTAAATTAATTGGTTTACGTGAAAGTTATAGCGTTTACAAATGGAGGTATATATACTGGAATTTTTGTTTTAATTCTTTTTTTACTGGTAATGGCAGCGATTAGCGACTTATAGCGGGACTATGGTGGGCATTCTGACACTGGGTGGAACTGATTTGGTGTCAATGACATCCCCAGTGACACCAATGAAGTGATCAGTGCTAATAAAAGGCACTGACACTGTACTAATGACACTGGGCAGGAAGGTGTTAACATGTGGAGCGATCAAAGGGTTAACTGTGTGCTGTTTTACTACAGGGGCTGTGGGTGTGTGTTTCACTGTAAGCACACTGCTATGCAGAGCCATACAAAGCAGTGTCCAGAAGCTGACAGGGGAGAGATCTGTATTGTTTACATACAGGTCTCTTCCCCATCCGAAATGCTGGCGAGTAATCACCATCCGGGACCCGGTGATTGACAGCCGAGGCCACGAATGGTGGCACAGGCAGGATGCGTGCGTGCCTCGCGCACGCCCCCTACCTGGAACTGCAAATTCACATATATATATATATATATATATATATATATACATATATATATATATATATAGTGTACACACGTGATTTTGTGCACCCGTAAACTGGTGTGAAAGGGTGCTTTTACTGCACTTGTTCCCAGACTATAGGCATCAAACTATTTACTTATCAACAAGTACTTAAGGAGCTTTAAACAAGCTCTCACCAACCTCTCTAACTGCTTGTAATGTGAAGTAATTTTTTTTAAGGATCCTCAAAGATATACTGACTCTAAAATTGGTTTCAGTTAGTTCCTTGGTTAGCTTAGAAACATCTGCTGTTTGTTTTTGAGGACCGGCAAACTGCCAAGATCTGCTCT